AGGATGAACACCTCCCTAGAATCATACTAGGGATGTAAAACACCTCCTTTTCCACCAATACAAAAAGGATGAAGGTAATAAAAATAAGAACAGTCACACCTGGGTAATGGAGACAACAAATGGTAGAAGCCTGTAGAATGTCAATCTCCAAGAACAAGTGTGATTAACAATGAGAGCACATAAGGCAGTAGAGAATAGGGTTTTCTCAGAAGGTGTAAAATATTTATGTTTCCTTACTCAGAATTCTTTTCTCAAAACTGATTGAATGTATATTGTATTTTCGAATTCTGTAATTGTGTGTTTTTTATTTTTCATCTAAACTTAATCAAATAGAAAAATAGCATTAGAAAATGGGCGTTGGACATTAATAATATCATAGAGAAAATCAGGATGTATTCAAAAATATTTATTCTTTAAAACAGATATATTTTTCAAATTTGAATTGCCATAATTGATTATATTACCAGTATAATCAATTATGACAGAGAAAATCATTTTTCCATTTCTGATGCATCATAATTGATTATGACAGTGAAAAATATATTGTTATGAATTTTATCACACTTATGTTTTGGAGGCTTATGCATAATATTATTTCATCAACTTGTATCTCCATATCCAGTATTCTAAGACTCTATCTAGTCTTCAGGAATCATCTTGGGCTTGCTTGAATCATCATCTTTATCAAAAATATATCTTGGACATGTAGGAAAATGTTTCACATTGTCACCAACGTCATAAATTCAGCTTGTCCTTAATTCATCTTGAATGATGTTGAATTGAATCATCATCAAAATCATCTCTTGAAAATGTAGGGACATTTCCATCAATCTCCCCTCATTGCTTTCATATTTGTTCATTCTAGTTTTTTTTTCTCAACCTATAATTTTATTATTTTTATTTTAAAATATATTTTATATTTTTTTTAAATTAATAATTTTAATCTTGTCATCTAAATCTTTGATGTGATCATTCTAATTAATTGATATTATCAAATAATTTTATTTGATTTGTTATAGTAAAAATCATCAAAGTAAATGTTAAAATAATACTAATTACTTTAAATTATAAGATAATAAATAATAAAAATAAAAAATAAATTTGAAGTAAAAAAACGTAAAAATAAAATAAAATAAATTTAAATACTTATCTCAAATAATATAAAACAAATTTAATGATGGATTAAAATAGAACAACATTTATAAGAAACTATTTATTTTTATATATGATGGATCAAAAGTGGAAATATATTTTAATTTATAATTTTATTTATGAAACACATTTAAATTTATAATTAATGAAAATAATGAAATCTTAATATAATATGATACTTTTAATAATGTATTGTTTTATAAATTTAAACTTACTTTTTTTTAGTTTATTTTTTAAATTTTATGTATTATTATTGTTAATTGATATACTAGAATAAATTTATATAAAAATAGTCTTTATCTTCAAAATTCACTTGTTCAAATTCTATATTTATATTTTTCTACTATTTCTTTATAGTTAAGAATGTCAACATTTGTACACACTTAAATATAATATAAAGTAAAAAGTATTTGTTTATTTTATTTTCTTTCCAATTTATAATTTTAGTATTTTTTTAAAATATATTTTATATTTTTAAAATTAATAATTTTAATGTAGTTATCTAAGCTTTTGATTGATGATTTTAATTAATTGATATTATCGAACCATTTTATTTGATTTATTATAGTAAAAATCATAAAAATAAATGTTAAAATAATATTAATTATTTTAAATTATAAGAAAATAAATAATAAAAATAGAAAATAAAGTATCCTATAAAAGAAGACTAATTATTGTAAAGATAAAATAGAATATGGGAGGAGATGAGGATAATAATGTAGTAGAAATGATAGAGTTTTTAAAAAAATGTAGAATATGAGAAGTTTAAAAAGAAAAAAAAGTTAAAAAAGGATATATAGATAAGTAATTGGATTAAATTTATTATTTCCTCATATATTATTATATATTATTAGCGTAATTTTAGTTTAATTAAAATTTAGAATACAAATATACTATACTAATATACCAATATATTATAATATTTGTAATTTATTTTCATTGTATATAAATTACAAAACTAATAATTTTTAAAAAATTTAATGATAATTTTTTTAACTTATATATTACAAAATATTTTAAATACTTTAATAAATATAACTTTTTTTAAATATCTTTCATCAATTTAAAGTATAATTTTTTGGTATTTTTTTTAAATGTAGATATCTTTAATATTTTGTACATGTAAATATAATTTATATATATTTTTAAACCTTTTCTAAAATTTGTTTTTAAAAATATAATATTATTTTTAATATTTAATATTTATATTTTAAATTTTTTTCTTAAATGATGAATGAATAATATTAATATTTTTTAATTAATTATATTTATAAATAATGAATTAAAAACATTTATTATCTTTTGGAAAAATATATAAATATATAAATATATAAACATATAAATATATAAACATATAAATATATAAATATATCAATATATCAATATATCAAAATATATAAATATATAAATATATTTGTATTTATAGATTTTATATTTATATATTTATATGGATATACATTTATTTGTATATAAATATAATTTATTTGTAAGTTATTATTAAAAAATCTTAGTAACTTAGTGGTTGGAGTTTGAGCCTCCAACACTAAGGTATCGGGTTCGAATATTGTCATTGACAATAATTTGATATTAATTTAAATTGTAATGAATAAACCTAAATAATTAACTTTGCCGATTGTTTTAATATATTAATTTCAGTTATTAATTATTAGCGATCGAAATTTTTAGTCGTCAAACTGTTTTTTCTTGTAGTATAATATTATAAAAATAATAAATTCTCAAATTATGACACTTTGCACTCTTATTAAACTTAATCTATAATTAACATTTATATATTGAAGAAGATCATGTATTGGTTAGACCATTCAAAATAAAATAATTTAACTAAAAGTTCTTAGACATGACAATGAGACAGATGAAATATGACTCGATATTATCTTAATAATCTTACTTTAAATCCAATTGAACTTTTAAACTTCGAATCCATGTGCTTCATTAATTCAATGAGCAGTTTAATTTTAAAAATATATTGATGTTGAGTTTTGGATTTTCTTGTCTTCTATCCGTCCTAATTCCATACTACTTTTTTTTTCTTCAAATAATTATACATAAATTATAATAAAATATTTTTAACATTATTTTTGTATTTATTATTTCTCGTACATAAATAAATATTTATAAATTTACAATTTTCAAATTATTATTATTGATTGAGTATATATTTTAATTTATTATATTTATATTGAAATATATATAAATATTTGATATGTTTTATATAAATATGGAATACTAGTAAAATTATTATTTTATATTATAACATTATACTTATTTCATTGTAGGTATAAGTAAATTATTTTTAAAATTTGTCAATATAAAGTCTATAAAAAATATTTAATAAAATATATCTTATTGAATTATGATAAAGTAAAAAAATCCTTCAAAATTATTAATTATTTAAAATATAATTATTTATTTAAAATGAAATTTAATATTTGATAAATAAAACTAATAAAATTAGAAAATGATATAATAAAACTTAATAAAAATAAATTAGAAATAAAATTATATTATTAAGATTGATGCATCCAGAAAAAAAGAAGAAGCAAGAGATAATTTGCTACGGATAAAGTAGTTGAAGAAATTAAAAAATATATATAAAACAAAAGATGAAAAAGAAAAGAAAAGAGTGCATTAAATTGAGAAAGAAAAAAAAAGAGAAAAAAAAATGAAGAATATGAAATAGAGATAAGACTTATGTACAGTAGGAGAAGGAAAAAAAGTTTGAGGGTGTATTGATATTTTAAAGTTAAATTTTAAACATAAAATTAAAATGAATCAATATGGAGATTATATTATCTATCCCACTCGAATTTGATTGCCATCGTGAAAACTTTCATCACTAATATATTAAACTTATTTGATTGATAAACAATTACTCAAATCACAGCTTATGTTCAAATGGAATTCAAGTTTCTTATAGATAGTATCTTAAAGTACTTCAAGTTTCTTATAATATCTCAAACATTATTAATAAAAATGATGCATGAAAGGATAATGGTAAAAGCTTTAAAACAAGCCATGTAAGTCTAAGTATTCTTAATACATAGCAAGTTTTTCATGTTCTATCACGAAAGATTCTGCCGCATTACCATGATCAGTGTGTTGCTCAAATTTAGATTCAGCAAGTATCATGAATAAGCACAAATAGTGATTCTACTTTTCTAGTTATGTTAAGCACAGAAAGATTTTATAGGCTTTTAGCTCTTCAATTGAATAAGAAGACAGGCCCAATGGACCTACAAGCCAGATCAATCACTTAGGGGATAACAAATCTCTTTGGGCTAAAAACAATCCATCAAAGTAAAGCTTGCAATAATTCCTTAGCTGAAAGCCCGTTTTGCCGAACAAAAATATGATATTATGAAATGGGGTTCCCCCCCTCCCCTACACCCTTCTATTATTTGCAATAACTTTAAAAGTCTTCTCAAGCCTTTGAAAAAATAATTTAATGTTTCAATCGGTGTTGTATAATAGAACCAGTCCAACGCATAATAAAGTCTAGTCTAGCCAACATCAATCTTTGCCACAATGCATGCTTCTTTGAAAGTGGCCAAATTCAAACGAGAGTGTCAACCTTCAATTTCCAACCAGAACTAGTCTTCTTCCAATGGATCCTTCTTCTTAATCATTATCCTCCTTTTCAAACTTGATCATTGACCACTTCATATCTCATGTCACACACACATGTATATATAACAATTAATATGTATAAGTATCAATCAAAGAATACACATACACCCAACAAGCCAAAGTGCACTAAACTTTCACAAGATATTGAAAGGTCAATATCCACATCCATCAACTTCTCAATAATCTTCAAAACTGAAATCATGCAGAAGCAACAACATCAACCCTCCGGTATCATTAACCCTAAGTATTGTGCTCCATATAATGTTGACCTAGCAATTGTGAGAAAGGTCTTGACATTGGCTGATAGCTTTTCCGTCACCGACGTTAATGGCAAAATAGTCTTCAACCTTAGTGCCTCTCTCATGACCCTCCACGACCACCGTCTCTTACTTGACGCCGTCGGCAAACCCATCGTCACACTACTCCGGAAGGTTTGACCATATACTCTACCCTTTTGTTTGATATATTGATTTGTTTGTTTAGCTTTTAAATGGTAATTTGAAGAATACGAATTAACAAACTTTCATAGTTTCTAGGATTAATTGGATATACGTGCTGCGTTTCTTTAATTATGACGGTCAAGATTATTATACAGAACCGCTCTCTGATTTTGTTTAGAAACTTGCGTTCATTTTGTCAAATATTTTTATGAGACGATTCAAATTTGTTTATGTAGAAGATGACAACTAATGATCGGTGGCAAGTTTTTCGAGGTGAAAGTACTGAGATGAAGGATTTGATCTTTAGTGTACAGAGATCGTCCCTTTTCCAGCTAAAGACAAAATTGGATGTGTTCTTAGCTAACAATACTAAAGAAAAAGTTTGTGACTTTAAGGTCAAAGGAAGTTGGTTCGAGCGATCTTGTGTTGTTTATGCTGGTGAGTCTCTCACCATTGTTGCCCAGGTGACCCTTTTGCTCTTTACCTATATATTTTGGATGAAGTGTAGTAAAAATAAAATAAAATAAAATAAAATTGTTTTTTTTTTTTGGGTTCATCAATTATCATAATGGTAAGATTTTAATTGACTTCATCAATTAAAGATTTACAATTTTATTGTTCTAGATTCTAGAATAATTTATTATAATTGCACCATTTTAATATCTTAGTGTATAATAAGCTATTGTTCACTAAATCAGATGGATAAAAATCTCAAAATTGTAATATCTAGAGGATAAAAATGAAATTAAGTAGAAAAAGGTTATATATGTACTTTAAAAATTCTAATTTTTCACGTGCAATGCTAACGTGATTGCAGATGCATAAGAAGCACATTCAAAGCATTGCGCTTGGGAAAGATGATTTCGTGGTTACAGTGTATCCAAACATTGACTATGCATTCATAGTGTCCCTGATTCTGATTCTTGACGAAATTAATCAAGACAAGAGACAATCCTAGAATTGATTACGGAGCCCTTTTGTGTATGATTTCCTTTGGGTTCTCTAGTTTTCATCAAAATGTTCATTCAAGACAAACTTTTGTGACACAAGAATGGTGAACAGTTTCAATCTTGCCGTCCTGTATTTGCTTTTAATGTTTATATTTATATATTTTTTAATTTATTTTCTGCTGTATACATCATTTAATTCGCATATATAATAACAAAAAATCGACTTACGATTACTATTCAAACTTTTTTAACTGATTTTTTTTAATTAAAAAGTCGAAGTATCTTTACCAACAAAAAAAAAAAATTGTCCTTTTCTCTTCCATTATCCACCCCATGTAAATCAAGTTGGACAGCAACTTTCTCACCGACACTTTTAATTGTATCTTGTCATTACTTATATTTTTGTTTTTGTTGTACTGTCATTGCTTTATATTTATAAATAAGTATATGTAAATCTGAAAAATGTGGAAATAGGGAAACAGGAAGAATTTCTAGCTATTGATATTGCTACGAACTTTAAAAAAAAAATGTATTTCTAAAGTTTAAATCATCACTTTCTCAAATTTTGGTAGTGTAAAATATTGCAGAATAGATCATATTTTATGACAACAATTAAAAGTATTTGTGATATTTATAGACCTTTATCAATTATAAAATTTCAAAATATGGAAACTCAGATTTTTCGCATACTGTTATGATAATGGTTTAAAAATTATCCACATTGCACAGAAGGTGGGTTTACTACCACGACATGGGTAATTTGTTTATGCATATTTCACATATTAATATTTCAATAAAACAGAAACTACTATTTAGTAATTTATAATATTCTTTTACTTGGTCAATTCACTATTATAAAATAAGTTTTCTACGTCCTCAAATTCTTATCGGACCCAAAAATAACAGATTTTTTAAAAAATATAGTGATATTTTTTTTTAAATAAAGGATGCTACTTTTAAATCGAACCTCTTAGAGACCGACACAAAAGCTACTTTTTACGTCGGATGACTCCCTAATTGACGTAAAAAATGACTTTTATGTCGGTCCCTATGAAGTCTGACGTAAAAGTTGTGTTTTAATCACTCCAAGTTTTTTTTTCTTCTGCGTGCGAGAGTTTTCGAGTGATTATGATAGCAACAACTAAACCAGCTTCTCTCAAGATATATTTCGACTACAGTGAGTGACGAAAACACCTACATTGTGTCTCATTTGTGGTGGTTGACATTTCTCTTCGAATAAATTCGAATTTTAGAGCATTTTTTGTATATTTGAGGTTAATGTTCTATGTGTCTCCTCTTTTATGTTGAAATTGAATTCGTGATTGTTATTTGTATATTACTTATATAATAATTTGTAGTTTGAATTATAATATGGTATGATGTGAAGAGAAGATATTACAGTATATGAAGTTTAGGATTTTATGATAAAAAAAGAAAAGCAAAAAGAAAATGTTCAAAAAATGATAAACTTTGACTCTGATGTCGAATTTGGACGGACAACATATAAAAACGAAGGGAAAAAAATGAAGAAGAGGAGGCAAATAAAGGGGATTTGTCCTAATAATTTTTCCAAAATATGCTCATAAACCCATGTAATAGACAAAAGTATGTTATATTATGTTATAAAAACATTATGTTTTGTTTCTCAATTCAATGTAATAAGCATGGTGGTATTGGATAAGAGTCATAGTTTGTGCTGGTATAACTGATTCTTGGACGGAGGTAATTGCTTTCAACATTTGTTAAGTTCATTTACCTTTACGTGTATTGCATGTTAACAAGAGTAAAATTAATGTTTTAGGTATTTCAATATTCATCCATCTCCACTATCAGAACATGATATTACACAAATTAGAGAACAATGAACAAAATTTTTCATTCAACATTTCTACTACTTAGTTTGTAGGTTATTGTTTATATTGTATTATGTAGTTCAGTTTTGTAATGTTTACCTTTTAAGTAGTTTAGTGTTTGTATTATTGTATTTTTGAATTATTATCTATTGAAATCTGGACTGGTTGTAAGACAAAACAAACTGAATATTAAAAAAAAACACGAAATTTACGTCGGACTAGGGTCATACCCGACGTAAATTTACGTTGGTTATATTCCAGGTTTGACTTAAATTTACATCAGGTATGCTCCTGGTCCGACATAAATTTATGTCGGTGATTATGTCTGACATAAATTTACATCTCTCGTATTAACGTCGAACTTGTTTCTAACGTAAAAAGGCCAAAATAATAGACGTGAAAGCCCCATTTTGTCCTAGTGATTTATCCCATTATCAATCCAAACAAGAAACTAAATATACGAGTCATGGTGCACTAGTATAAAATATGAAAACAACGACGTCATTCAATGACGATTATACTAATCATTTTTTTCTAGATACATTTTTTTCTAGATACATTGATATTCCCATTTTTTATCATTCTAATTATTGACACAGGAAATGGTGAAGAAGAGGTCCAATAAATATTAAACATGTGTAATTAATCTACTCTTCTGTTTTATTATTTCTTATTAGAATTGTAATGAAATAAGTTAGAAAAGATAAAGATGAAAGATTAATTTGGCCTCATTAAAATTCAGGGTGAAACTAAAAATATGGTGCAGACTTTAATGGAATTAAGTTATTAATTTAATTCTTATTATTAATAAAGTGAAAGCATAAATCAAAATGGATAGGTTGGGGCAATAATTACGTAGTGACAATTTTGAAATTAAATTCAACTTTTTTTAGTGACTATTATTAAAGAATTGTCATCGTATGTCACCAACAACGATGATTCTGTAAAGAACCATCATTGTACGTGAAATAAGTCACATTTGATGGCAATTGTACTAAAACTGTCATTGTAAGTAACATATGATGACAATTATTCATAGAACCATCATCGTATGTCTTATATACTATTCATCTCCCCTTTTTTTTTTCTCATTTCCGTTGCACTCTCTTCACTTTTCGCTGTTGCACCCTAAAGGTCCTTTCCCTTGCATCACTCATCTCACTCCCTTGGGCATTCCTCTCCCTCGTGGCTTTTCTCTATCCCTCGTGGCTATCCTTTCTTGTGTCTCTCCTCTCTCTCATTGCCTCTTCACTCTTGTGCACATGTCTCTCTCCTCTATCATGTCCTCTCTATCCCTTTGTGTTGCAATGGTTTGTGGTTGTTTTTATGGAGGTTGTTGGTGGTGTTCATGGTGGTTTCTTCCTCTATAGTGGTCGTCCTCTCCATCCCTCCTTCCCTTTGTGCTGGTGGTGCTAGATTGGATAGCTCCCTCCCTCCTTAGGTGATATGAACTCCATTTACACAAGGGTGGACTTAGAATCTTTAGGGTTAGAACCTTGTAGGAAATCTAAGAAATTACTAAGAAGGTGGATTAGAAAGTGGTGAAAATTTCAGGGTTGGACAGTATTTTTGAAACGTCGATATCTTAAGTTATAAACTTCGATTGAGGTGATTAAAAAATGAGGTGAAATTTCTCTTTTTGAATTTCAATTTAGGCTCAAGAAACAATCAATTTGGATAAGTAGAACAAAAGTTATGACCACGAAATAAATTTGGACAAAATTTAAATTTTTGGGTTTTGGTAAAGAAAGGACAAGAGGTGAATATGAAAGGTCGAAGGAAATAATCACTCTTCTCAAGAGAGACAACTCATAAAGGATGTGAAAGTTACAACCAAGGGTTCTTGAATCACTTAAGAACTTAGGAGAATCACTCTCACTAAGATAAAAGAGATAAACTCTAATATTTCTAAATAAAACTCAACTTGTTATTTATGATATAAATGGTTTAGCTTATGTAGAAACTTTATCATCAAAGTTACAAAGACTCAATAAAGGAAAATAAATACTAATAATGATCCATTAATCTAGGAATTGAAAAACTACTTAATGGAGGCAAATAAATGCCAATAATAATCCATTAACCTAAGAATTCAAAACTATTTAATGGTTGGTTGTAACTAAAGTTGTGGCAACCAAAAGTCAATTAGCTATGCACCCTCTTGGTCTCCCAAAGGCTGACACCTCAGTTTCCCAATTGGGCCCTTATTACAACTTAAAATAAAACCAAACTAAAGCCCATTAATTGATTAACCCAAAATATAATTTGGTCAGCCAATTTTACAAAGAATTGAACCATTATTTAAACAAACTTAAAGACTAAAACAAAGTGACACATTAGTCCTCCTCCATTTGGGCCATGATGCAATTCATAATTTTGGTCTTTTCTCCTTGAAATGTGGGCTTGTATTCAAATAATATGGACAACACTTGTTGAAGAACTTCCTTTGTTTCCATTACTCTAGCCTTTGTCATAGGTCCTCCAAGTCCTTCAAGTGGATCCTTACCCTTGCTCATGGTCATGTCTCCATCATTAGGTGCTAGTTGTTCTTGACAACAAAACTGAACATTAAATTTTCCTTATTCTTCATCATTTTTTGTTGTGATGACAATATTGTTATAGCGATTCTATTTGTAATATTGAACAAATTTTTGTTGAGTCCAAGGATGTATAATCTTCGGCAAATTCTTTTTGTTATTTTTGGATGTTTATATTTTAGACGTTATGTTGCAAAAATTTCAGATAATTATGGATCAAACTTAGATTAATTATACATGCATATAATGAGTAATATCTCCCATATATCACAATATATTAAAGACTCTTAACTATAATGAATAAATTATATTTTATTTTGGGTCAAATAAATGAAATTTCTCAAAATAAACATATTTGTGTATAGTAAATGAGTAAAAAAATATTAAACTAATAAGAGTTTTATTAAAGTAAAATTATTGACTGTCACAACAAGGAGCCAAGTCTTATTTGTGTTATATGATCCTTAAAATTATTTGGTGGAATTCCTTTAGTCAAAGGATTAACAATCATCAATTCAATACTAACGTGTTCAATAATCATTTTCTTTTTTCTTAACACGTTATTTAATGTGAATATTCTTACATCAACTTTTTCTTTTATTATTCTTAGCCATAAAT